TGACCCCCTCTTCTTTGTGGCAGTCCCTCAAATACTGGAATACTGCTATCATGTCTCCCCTATTTCTTCTTTTCTTTAGACTAGCCAAACCCATGTCCTGCAGCCATTCTTCGTAAGTTTTAGTTTCCAGGCCTTTGATCATCTTAGTTGCTCTTCTTGTATGCTTCTGAGCCACATCTTTTGTAGAGGGATGTTCATAGTGCTGCCTTGAGAGAGTGTCCATCTGTGAAGGAAAACATACACAGTCTCATTATGCATGAAATCAGAAAACAGCCTGAGGGGAAACATGAAGCTTTGTGTTTTTCAGGAGAATACTATAAGACAATCTATAAAATCTGTTTTGAAATTGAAATTTTTCTACATTCTATAAGGAATTGATATTAAAGTTGGATTTTAGCCATGGACTAGCAGGTGAAGATCCATATGAAAAACTTATTTTGAAACACATTAGGAGTCTATAGGGAGAGTGAAATGGTAGTGGTAGAGAAAAACAAGAATGTTCCCCATTCCCTGATGGATTTTCCACCTTTATTTCTAAGATGTTGGCGAGAATTCCCTGACCTTTGTTAAGAGCTACTATAGAATATCTCTTTTGAAAGGTAAAAAGGGAGATGGACCTCTACAATTCTTCCCTTGTTCTAATAAGGATTCCACTCCCTACATGCTTTATTGAGGGAGGGATTTGTGCATTTCAAATCCCATCAGGAGACCCATAGAAATGGATGGCTTCGTTCTCTTCTCCTTATCCTTTTTAACAAGACTATGATTTTCTATATATCTGCAAGTTTCCCTTAGTACAGGGGTGTCAAACTGCCAGCCCATGGGCTGGTTGCATCATATGAGGCCGCACCCACCCCACCTCCAGCAATGCAAAAAAAGTCACAATATGTTGCGATACATCACGTGACGCAGCAAATTTGACACCCGTGCATTAGTATGTAGCTTAGGTATCCTGTCTATGGAATCAGAGTAACTCCCAACAAGGAAAGAGTATAGCATTTAGGTTTTTTGTTTAGAGCAAAATCAGGTAAGGGGAAAGTGAAATATATAAAATCATGTGTGATATGGAAAATATGAAGCTTCCGGTGAGGAATTATGCTGGGCAGATGTCTCCAAAGGAGCAAAGGGACACTGTAGCCAAGAATGCTGCTAGAGGGTGGATGCCAAACTCTGGATCAAAGAAAGATTGTAAGATAACCATTTTGCACAAAACATTTGCCTTAAAAACTTTCGGTGAAGAATATATTTCAGCAGACATTAAAAAAGAGGAATGGAGTTATTTTATATGGTAGATTTGTGAGGTAGAAGTTAATTTATTTGGGGTCAAAACTATAATGTTGGGGATTTATGCCTCAAATGAGGATGAAGGAATGTTCTACAAACCACCTATGGGGAGATTGATGGATTTCTCTAATGAAAGTTGGTGTTTGAAGAAAGATTGGAATGGAAATGGACAGAACTTTGAGAAAAATATTAAATATTAAAATTACGTAGGATAAACTACCACCTTTTTCTGATTTGATTATTAATTTTGGGTTGATTGATATATGGAGATGGAAAAATGGTAGTTCAAGAGAATATTTTACTTTTCAGAAAAACATAACTTTTTCAAAAGTAGACATGATTTGGATTTGAAGAGTCTTGGCTACTAAAATATCTAAAATGGAAATTTTACTTTTTCATACCAGAATCCTGTGATTTTGGTTATAAAACAAAAACTAGATTTTTTAAGGTGGAGATTAAATGAAGTATTGTTACAGAAAGAAACAATTGTTGAGGATTTTAAAAAGAAATTAGAAAAATTCTTTGAAACTAATTTAAACTAAGGCATTGACTTGAAAATGGTTTGGGATGCAGGTAAAGCCCTTATTAGAGGTTGTCTAATTCAAGATAATTCTGAAATTAAGAAGAAGAAGAAAGAGAAAAGACAAAATATTCTGGCGGAGATAAAAAGAAAAGAATTAAAGAACTTCCTAGGGAATATAAGTATCTCTCAACAAATTAAGATTTTAAAACAACAGTTAACAATGACAAAAATGGAAATAAATCTGTAAAACAGAGACGTTTTGAATTTGCAAAGAAACCAGAAAAATGGTTGGCATATAAATGGCGAAAAGAAAGGGAAAAGAAAATGATATTGAAATTACTAGAGGTTGATTCTATATGAACAGATAATATTGCTATTCAAGGAACACTGTATCAGTATTAATTTTATATAAAGAACATGATATTTCATTGGAGAAAATGGAGGAATACCTTAGAAAACAAAATTTACCGAGAATCACAGAAGAACAAAGACAAATTATGTATGGACCTGTAACAACAAGGACGTTTTGGAAGTTATACAAGAGATTAAACTAGGAAAGTTTCCTGGGTCAGATGGACTATTAGGTACTATGAGGATGATTTTTTTTTTTTACAATTTTTACAAAACACAATGAATTCTATTTTACAGGGAGGAAAATGCCAGAGACTTGGAAAGAGGCCAATATAGCATTAGTACTCAAAGAGGGACAAGATTTGACTTTAACAAGACTAATGCCATTGAACAAAGATTATAAATTGCTTACAACAATTTGAACTGAAAGATTGAAAATAATTTTGCAAGAATTTATTCATGAAGATCAATGTAAATTTTTACCTGAAAGATAATTGAAGGGCAATTTTAGGAATGTGTAGGATATTAAGGAAATATTTGAAAAAAACATAATGAAAAACAAGCCACATGTGTCTTTCTAGATGCAGAGAAGGCTTTTAACAAATTGAATTGGATGTTTCTGTTTGATGTTTTAGAAAATATGAACTTTGGAGAGAACTTTATAAACTGGGTAAAATCAATTTACACTCTACAGACAGCACAAATAATTGTTAATGGAGAGCTAACAAAACCATGTGAGATATAAAAAGAAAGAAGACAAAGTTGCCCATTTTCCCTTCTTTTGTTTATTTTAGATATTGATATATTGAACACAGACATACGGTAAGATGAGAAGAGAGGATTGTGAGTGTAAAGATTTAAAAAGAGATTCATAAGAGTTTTTGCCGATACTTTGATGTTGGTTTTGGAAGATTCTTAAAAGGAAATTGAATTATTAATAACTAAATTAAAAGAATTTAGTGCATTAGCAGGTCTCAAAATTAATAAACAAAAGAGAAATACATTAACAAAAAGTATGAAAATACAAGAGTAAACAGAACTGATAAAGAAAATAGATTTTAAAACTGAAAAAGGTTAAAATATTTGGACATCTGTTGATAAATATGGCCTGTATCTTATTTCAAAATTATTATATTAAGTTATGGAATGAATTCAAAACAGAAATGTTAAAATGTGATAAAGTGGAATTCTTATTATTGGGGAGAATATCTGTGATAAAGATGAATGTTTTACTTAGAAGGTTATTTTTGTTCTAGACAGTACCGGTTTTGTTTTGACAGCCAGTGTATTATTTAAATAGTGGCAGAAGGATACTTCTAAATTTGTATGGCAGGTGGGATGGGGGGAAATCACAAATTAAATATAAGGTATTACAAGATGCAAAGGAAAGAGGAGTATTGGGTTTACTTGACTTAAAATTATACTTTGCTCTTTGTTAGTTAGTTTGGATGAAAGAGAGTTGCTGGGAGTTGCTGAGATGTAAAAAGTTACTTGAGTTAGAAGAACTCAAACTGAGATTTGGATGACATGGATGTTTGTCATATGTCAAAGCTAAGCTTAATGTAGATTTTACATTAGATGTGCCATTCTGAGAATATGGAATAAATACAAATTTATGTTGTCAATTTATTCAAAGGGAATATAAAATAAAATCAAGGAAAGATTTAGTAACAGAAGAATATACAGTATTTGGCAGTGGTTATGTACAATTATCAGATGTTATGGTTTTGAACAATTAAAGATTGAATTTGAAACAAAACTGTGTACAGTGATGAACACGTTATTGTTAAAATGTATAAACTTTTGTTGCAATTTGAGACAGAACAAGTGAAAGAATGTAAGATAAAACGGATTAAAAATTTTGGTTACAGTATACAGATGGAATAATGGGAAAATATGTGACTGAAAGAAAATTTAGAATAAGGTCTAGTGCTGAAGAGAATGTTGATAAAACAATGTATCATTGATATATGTCACCAGAGAAATTGTCTAGAATGTATGAAGGTATTTCAAATTTACATTGGATATGTGAACGATATGAAGGGATATTGGACATACAATAAAATTTGCATACAAATATGTTCACTAATTCAGAAAATTTTAAAGATTAATGTACAATTGAAACCAGACGCTTTTATTCTGGGACTAATGGATAGACAGGTGGGAAAAAAAGTGATGGAATCTTGTTTTTATATATGACAGTTTAAGAAAGATTGTTATGTGCTCAAAAGTGGAAAGGTATGGCATTAGCCATGATGGAGAAATGGTTGATAAAATGATGGAACTTGCAGAGATGATCAAAGTCACCTCTGTGCTTAGAGAAAAGACATCTACATTTATGGCTGACTGAAAATGAAGCAAAAAAATTAACTGTGGTTTTGATGATTAAGAACAAATAGACAAAAGAAAAATAGAGCTTTTTTGTAACCACAATTAAGAGATCATTTTGTAATCATACTTGTATTTGCTACAAAGAAATCAGAAGTTTCTTCTTTATCATTTCTTTTTATCTTTTGCTTTTGCATTTTGTCCTGCTATTCTCTCTCTTTTTTGTATTCTCTTTATTTTATGTTAGTTTTCAGGATATCATAAAATATTCTAGTTTCCAGAATATCATAAAATAATATTCCTGAAGCATCAGTATGTTTGTTCTAATGTATTGTAAATTCTACTATAGCTCTGTCCCAAAAATACCACTGAAATCTAGTTCCAAATTTTTCCCCCAGGTCATTTTCTCTATCTGCATGTCAATAGTGAACACACAGACGGTCTTGCCCGGACTTACAGCACTGACCTTCCAGCCATTCTTTCCAATGGATCTTATAAGGTACTTTAACCTCTTCCTTAGGCAATTAAATTTCACTTTGCAGATTTGTGTGTGTGTGTGACATGCAGGCTTTTTTGGGGGGGGGGGTCTTTTTTCACATTATATTCTTTTTGGTCAAAAGTATGAAAATGATTCTGCATAAAAGATCTGTAGTAAGAGTTTTATTCGTAATAACCATCACTGTTCATGCCATAGAAACAGGGTATACAATCAGCTCCAATCCAGTCTGAAGCCAGATCCAAGTTGATTTTAAAAAACAAGCATATGATTCTATTTGACCGTTGGATTCAATTTTCTGATTTTAAGAAAAATCAAATTGATTGTGAAAATTGAGATTTCTCACAACTTAAAGAGCGGGATTGCCTTGACAATACAGGAGAATAGGGCAGGAAGTGTTCCCTTGTTTCTATGCCAATCCAACCACCAGTGCACAAGCACTGTAAGAGCACCCTGAACTGTGTTCTGGATGATCTTCAAAGGCAGTCCCTGTAGACTGTATTATAGTAATCTAACTAGGACATAACCAAGACTCCGGTCTAAGAAGGGATGCAGTTGGTGCACAAAATGAATCTGTGCAAAGCCCCCAAACCCCCAGCTTCTTCTTAAGCAGGAGCTCCAAGTCCAGGGAAACCCCCAAACCATGCACCAGCTCTGTCCAGGGGAATGCTGGAAAGAGCCATTGGGGAGCAACCTACTAAGAAGAGATGCTGGAATCCAACCATCATCCTGAAGGGTTGAACGTCCAAAGGCATCCTCACATCAGATCTGATGCCTTTCTGGCATTTGCCCACTGATGGCCGCTTCCCTTTCCAAACAGGCACTTTACTCTGCTTAAGGGAAAGTGCACTGCCACAAGTTGGCAGCCTGGCTTTCCCACTGCTACCAGCTAAGCAGGTGATTCAGCTTCCCTGTATTAAAATATGTTTTACGTCCTTGCCTCTGCTGACTCATTGCTTCCAGTGGATGCAAACCCATTTGTAGATGTTTGCCTCCACTTTCCTTCCTTTTATTTGCTTTTAAAATTAAATTAAAGCAAAACAGAAAACACATTACTCCTAAGATAGGAAAAGGGGTGGTGTGAGACAGCTAGACAGGTTAACCAGTTCCAGACACAGCAGTCCTGGCTTGTCTCTTTCTGTCTTCAGAAGAGTCAGATCCAGAATGTCTCTGCTGAAACATGTGTTCTCAAATGCCAATTGCCTAGCCCCCCACATCTGCCCCGTGCCCCACATTATTCCATCTAGCCTAAGGCAAGAGCAACTGGGGCATGACCATGGAAAGGTTTTGGAAGAAACTAACCCAAAGCACAAAATAACAGCCTAATCACAGCCCTCAGAACCAGCTGGTGCTTGAAATAATAATATTTTGTTCTGTAAATCAGGATCCAAGATTGTGGGCACGTGAAACAAAACTCTAATTAGAACAACCTCTTTGAAGTTGAAAAGTTTCAAAGTAAAACAGTTTGCACACCTCTTTTCCCAAACTCTTTTTCTGTGGCCAACGATCATATCATGAATTATATGAAATAAAGAAATAGTTGCAGGTATTAGAATCAAACTTCTCTTCAAACAAGCTCTGGGCTACCTTGGTGTTATAATCAAAGCTGGAAAGGTGTTAATGCAACCGAAATACAGAAGTGGGATGATTGAGTAACAGCAGATTCAACTCTGGTATGAAAAAGACTTTTTTTTCCCCCTGAACATTTTATCCCAGAGTGAGCTGACAAAATAGAGTCCCCTTTCATTTGAATTAGCAAAGTCTAATTAAGAAGCGTAGAAATAGCAGGATATTAGATCAGCTTTAAATTTGTGCATAATGCCCTGATTTGTTCTAAAGCTAGTTACCATAGTTTCTCAACTTGGATGAAATGGATAACTATGATAAGAGATGTCTGGATTTCTTTGCTCTTGCTCTGAAGAAAGAAACAACCAAAGGGAGCACAAATACAGACAAAAGACTTATTCATAGATTAGCTTATTAAGCCATTGCCCATTTCTGCCGTATGAAAGTGATACAAGGACTCAGAAGTAGGATCTTTCTCTCATTCCAGTAATTTAACCAAGCTCTCTCCTTAAACCAGCCCAGTTATCCAATTCTCTCACTTTGTTTACTTCATCCTTCTCTTGAACGGAAAGGCTTACCAAAAGTTGGATAAATAGTTATCTTTTAAATATATATTATATATATATATATATATATTAAATATAATATATAAATTTAATATATATACATTAATTTTTCATACTTGATGTGGAAATTTAATTTGTTTGTAATATATTGCCCTCCTGAATGTTTTGGCTATTGGAATACTTAAAAATGGAAAGAATAAAGAAATGTAGCATAAATACTGTGTTTCCCCAAAAATAAGATCCACCCAGAAAATAAAACCTAGCTGCCTAGCATGATTTTTTAGCATGTGCCTAATATAAGCCCTACCCCAAAAATAAGCCCTAGGTAAGAGTCCGCCCACTCTTTCCCACCGTCTGGTTGCTCCCGACTGCAACGGGACAGGAAAGCGCACGTCGCACCAGTGCCGCTGCCACAGGTTGAGGCAAGGCAGGTGGGGGTGGAGCTGCCCCACCCGCTTACCTCGGGGCCAGGCCACCCACACCCTACCACCTTCCTCGCCTCATGGCAGTGGCACCAGCAGTAGCAGCAGCCCCATCCACCAGGAGCCCTCCCACTTGCCTGGTTGCTCTGAGTCGCAACGGGGCAGGAGAGGGCTCATTGCACCAGTGCCACCGCTACAAGGTGAGCGAGGCAGGTGGGGGGTTGAGGTGCCCCATGTGCCCTGTACCCACTTACCTCAGAGGCCCCACTCAGTGACCTCTCCCTGGCAGTTCAATGACCTGGCTGCCTGCCCGCCTCTTCCTTTCACTCCCCTCCTGAGCCAGACTGTCATGCTACAGAGGATGGGTGAGGGAAACTCAGTCACCTTACCCGGTCCCACTTCACCATTTCAAAGCCAGGACGGAGTAATGGCGAAAGGCCTTGGCTGTCGCTGTGCAACAGCTGCATCTGCCTCTAGAGAGGCTTTCTTCGGTCCCTGATGGCCCTGCCCTGTCCCACCCCTCTTAGATCACCTGCCTGGCGGCAGCTGCCACTTCCTCCTCCACCACCTGCCACTTGGGTCCTGTGGCACTGCATCACTCTGCCTGCTCCCTGTTCGCCACCTGTATTGTGTGGTTTCAATGGCGGTAGCTCTGGAGGCCCGTGGTAGGCTCTCTGCATTGTCCCTGGGCTGGCAATTTTGGCCACCGGCCCCCTTCGTGGCTCTGGGAGAATTGGCGGCTGGAGTCATGGCAGCGAGGGCTTTGGAGCACCCCTGCCGCCAGCCCTGGTATAACTCTCCCGTGGTGTATGGGCAGAGCCATGAAGGGGGCCGGTGGAAGGGGTCCCAAAATATATATATATAAGACCCAGTCTTATTTTTGGGGAAACACAGTAGTAGACAGTCTGCATTAAGACTGGCCATCTGGAAAATTCAAAAAGGGAAAGAAAATGGCAATCCACTTATGCATCGATGTAAGGATGTGACAATTTTGTGTGTTACAGGGATTTTTTTAATGTTAGATTAGGCAGCAATTCGTATCCTGATAGTTCAGCTAGTTTCCACCTTTCCCCTGTCCAGAGAAGAGAAAATGAATACAGGTAGTCCTCAGCTTATGACCACAATTGAACCTAAAATTTCTGTTTAGCAAGGCAGTTGTTAAGTGAATTGTGCCCCATTTTATGACCTTTTTGGCCATGGTTGTTAAGCAAATCATTACAGTTAAGTGAATCATGCAATCATTAAGGGAATCGGACGTCCCCCATTGACAGTTACTTGTCCGAAGCTCCTGAGGGAGGTTGCAGATGATCATCCCAGAACTTCGGAACAGTGCAAGCATCACAAAACCACACGGTTGTCAAGCACCCAAAGTTTGATCACTTGAGTGGGGAGGTTGCAATGGTGGTCACAAGTTGTAATTTTGAACAGTGATGAAATAAATGGTTGTAAAATGAGGAATATGTGTACACGAAAATTGAAAGGCAGACATTTTTCCCCTCTCTTATATCCATATAGAATTATAACAATTGTTGCATTGATCAGCTATAATGTTTCATGCATCTGATCTGATGAAGTGGATTTTAATCCATGGAAGTTAAAACCATAATAAAATGTGTTAACTTTCTTTCAGCTTCTGCCCCAAGGTATCTGACAATGACATGGGTGGCATATAAATTTAATTAATTTATTATATTGTAATAAATTCTTCGGTTACACTTTTTCATGAAGTTCTTCTCTGATACCTGATGGTGACAATGTTGCCTTCACTCTGGATCAAAAATTACATGTATTGGCCTGGCTAATAAATAGCTTTTTTTTTTCAAGGGTTTTTGATTTCTGCCCACATTAGAGGAAACAGAGCATAAACTAAGATCACATAGCTTCCTGTACACATATCAGCTCATTCATTGCTTCCTCCCTACAAGTGCAGCAATGGATATCCTTTCTGGCTAGCTTCATCTTTTGTAAGACCAGAAAATTTGGTTCCAGTTTATATGTAATAAAAATCATAAAGGCAGAGAAGCATCTGGCTAATGAATATATAAATGCTCGAGTCGAGACGTCTTTTTATATTTCTCATCTTCATGTGATTCATTCCCAGGAAGTTGTGTGGTATTATTTTTATGAAGCTCATAATAGGACCTCTCCTATGATATAAAACTTTTATATCTATGAACCAAAGTTATAGTCCTCAGATATGGTACTTACAAAGGACCTAATATACAGCTTTTGTCTGTCTCACCGCTTTACCTTCACTTTAGGTCCAATTCTCAGCATATGTTTTTGGCAATTATAATGGCACCATTTCATTCACTGTACAAGAAGATGAAGGAGCAGCCAATGGCAGTGTGGCACTACTGATATGGGAAAAGTCAGGGAGCTGGAGAGATCATTGGTTTCTCATAACTTTGGAAATGCCAAGCCTTCAGAACAGGTAATTACAGCACCAGGAATATTCATCATTACTATCATTACCGGTGACTTTTAAGGGTGAGACAATAGATGGAGGATTCCTAGACAGTGCCTTCCCCCCAAGTCCTCCAAGCAAGCTTACTAGTTTGTCACAAATGTATGCTGTTGCATAGCCCTATATGAAGCCTAGCTGTTCTTTGTTTTTTGTTTTTTCTAAACACTATATTTATCTTACAAAAGAGAAATCATCACAAGCCTATATGCAAAGTTCTACCTCTTACTCTGCTGAGGGGAGGAGAAAAGAAGAAGGGCTGGGAAGAAAGATAGAGGAGGAAATTGCAAGTGGGAAGGAAGGTGAGATTTACGTGGGCCATGCTGGAAGGGAAAGAGAAGATGGGTTCTGACTTTTAGAGCACCTACTGTACGGTAGCAGAGAGAGCACCAAAAGCAACAAAGGCCTAACAGCATTTTGCAACCTGCTGAATCTTAGGAACAATTAAAAGAGTCTAATTGGCAATAGAAGAGAATATTTGTAACTTAGGGTTGAATTCTGGAATCCTTGGTGCCCTCTGAGCTTGGAGGTCTGATGATGCACTGATGATGTTAACTAGTTTGGTAATGAAACATCTGCAAGAAAACCACCAAGCTCAGAGAACACCAAGCACCCCACAGAGTCCAATTAATTAAACACTCTTTTGTTTCCTACCTCTCCATGCCCCAGCCCCAGCCCCTCTTGATTTTGTGAAAGAGTGTCTCTCTTCAAAATGAAATCCTGATTTTAGTGATTTTTAAAAAAGGAAGCAAGGGCATTCTTCCAATAAATTTATGGTTTCAAATTATGTTGTTTTTGCTAATTTCCAACTAATAGGTTTTATTTTATCATGTAGACAGCTATTTTAACTTTATTTGATATATAGATTAAATTTAAATTATTAAAAGTAAACTGTATGTTTATTCCTTGCTCATTCTTACCCCTAATGTAATCTTTAATTTTATTAATGGGGAAAGCACATAGATTCGTTTTATAGGGTCAAATTGCTTCAAACTTTGAAAACCCCTGCCCTACATTGTACCATCAACGTGCAAGACACTTTTCCAAAGAAACACATTTTGCTTTAAGAATTTTACCATGTAAATTTTGACATAATACAGGATGGAGATGGAAATTGAATAAGAATATATATGTGGTTTAATCAGTGGTGGGATTCAAATTTATGAACAACTGGTTCATTGTGTGGATGCCACTCCCGGAAGTCCGTTCTGGGCCTGGGCAACAAAAAAATAGCTACCGGTTCTGCCAAACTGGTGCGAACTGGCTGGATTCCACCACTGCATTTAATACATGTTCTTAGGACATTATCACAGGGATACAGCTCCAAATTTGAAAGACTTCTGGGTCCTACAATGTGAACAATTTATTTCTCACTTAGTTGTGCTGAGGTTTTAAACTGTTACTAAGTTGTGGTTTGTGGGGTTAATAGTGGGGCTGTGCTAAATTTCCCCACAGAAAGGAATTCTTGCCTCACATCTTCTCCCAGTTGCTGAACTCAAGTCCTAGGAGAAATGCTAACTTAATACATATAGTACAGTACACACACCACTAGTCCAGACAAAGCAAGCAAAGGTGAAAATTAGTTCTTTTTAGCACTGGAAGAACTTGTCTGCAAGGTATCAGGCTGCTGGGGACAAGGAGTTACTTTCTGTCTTGTCTTTTGTCTGCAGTGGCGATGAGGCATCTTTTACTGTAAAACTTCAGCACAGTGATTTTTGTTCATTAATATTTCAAGTTAGCAAAAGTGAAGACGAACATAGATTGTCTTTAATTGCTTCTGAAAGTTTGGTGAATGAAGAAAGTAGTAATGTGGAAATCTTAGATTTAGCGAGGATTGAAGAGATGGAGAGAGATGGAGAGAGAGAGAGAGAGAGAGAGAGAGGAGAGAGAGAGAGAGAGAGAGAGAGAGAGAGAGAGAGAGAGAGAGAGAGAGAGAGAGAGAGAGAGAGAGAGAGAGAGAGAGAGAGAACTTGAAATGAAATGCAATGGCTTTAGGATGGAGTTTCAAGCATAAGGAACAACAAAGAAGAAAAGAGGAGTTGCAGATAAACCTAACAGAGAGAACTTTACATTCAGGAATCTAGCATTTTTCATCTCTCTGATCCCACAGTGTAGCAGCATGACAAGATCCCCTTTTTGAAGAGAATACTAGGTGTTATTGAGAAGAAGTGGGGTTGAGGAATGACCAGCCATTTTTTTACTTGTTTACATGAATGCCAGGGTAGGAACTGAGAGACGTGACTGAGAAGAAAACCAAAGTGAAAGATGTAGCTGCCAACCAATTGTTAAGGATTGACCGTTGAGTAAGATCAACCTTCTTTCAAGTTGAACTTGGCTCTTGGAGATTTTAATAGACACATCCATGTAATTTTCTAGGTAGCAGCATGGAAGTGCCTTGTCATCGCCTTCTTTAAATATGCTACAAGACTTATAAAAGTCCTCCTGAAATGGAAAATAACCTTTTAAAGCTCCTGGAATTTTTCTCTATTCCAGTTTAAACTCTGGATGTTTGAAGAAGTCCTGAATTCTACTAATGATGAATACAATGTCCAAATATATACACACCAAACACTTTGGGTGTATTTTCTATGATTGTTGCAATCAATTGTTCTTCATACTTATTCAGTTTCCTTTAAAAAGAGTTTGTATTACCATTATTGTAACTAATTGGAGATCATGGGTTGCGTGTGTAAGAGAGAAAGAATGCCATGACATTATGTAGCCAACAAAATGCAACTCCACTATTGTAATAATTAGTGTCCTATTCTAAAATTGATATAAGTAGTGAAGGAAAAAGGTTGCCATAGCAACAAGACCTACTCTGTTTTTCCTGCTTGTACTGATTGGATATATAATGTTGTTGTTAGAAGCAAAATATTGTCATTGTTCACTTGTTCAGTGAGGAAGAAAAGAGTAATCTATCTTTTGCAAAGAATGTTATCTCCCACTGTTTATGTAGCACTATATTTATCTCCTTTTTGGAGCCTATAATACAAAGCTACATAACTTTTTTATGTTTAAAAGCCTCACTTGGTCTTCCAGATAAGAAAAATGGTGAACTAGATGTCTCCAAAAGACCATGGCAAAAAGCTCAGACCAGTGGAACCCCTTCAGATCAGGAGAAGATGAGAGGTTACCCACTTGTGGTCTGGACAGTTGCTCCACACAAGGTAGCCACAATATAGGACAGTGGTGGCGAACCTATGGCACGGGTGCCAGAGGCAGCACTCAGAGCCCTCTCTGTGGGCACGTGTGCCATCGTCCCAGTCCTAGGCCTTCAGCTGGGTTTTATAAAACCTTTTCGCTTTAGGCCTCCGCCGCCGTGTAAAAAAAAAAAAGGTTCAATCAGTCAATTTCAACTTCTTGCGGGGAAAAAAAAGATCTTGCAAAGTTGGAATTGATTGATTGAACTTTTTAGTCCCACCCAGTCTGCCGTTACCACCACAGCCACGCCCAGCCAATGGGCCACACCCAGCCAATGGGCCACACTCACCTGGCACCTGACGATGCATAAGTGAGTTTTGGGTTGCAGTTTGGGCACTCGGTCTCTAAAAGGTTCACCATCACTGGTATAGGAGTTGTCCTGTAGGTCTGGGCACTGGGAAATGAGGGAACAATCATGCTTTCAACCATGGCAGAGCCTTTAAGGACAGTGGGTTTGACCACCTCATTTTCTAATCATCCTTGAATTTACAATTACTTTACAGCTAAAAGAGATCTTCCAGACAAGTTTGAAAAGCTATCTGATGAGTAAAATTCCATCTCCAAATAAAAGAAAGGCTAACCAGCAGTTTAAAGAATGTAAAGTATATAAAATAAGTGGCCAAAAGCTAAATAAGAATTTAATTTAAGAAAGTTTTAAACACATTAAAGGACTGGATAAATTTGGAATATTGGGACATTTGTTAAGATCTTTAAAAAAATTGTATAAACAAGCCAGCATTTCCATTGGAACACAAATTGTTTAATCTATCAGGAAAGAGATTATTGACTGAAAATAAAAACACCCCCCCTCCCCGAGACTTCATAAATATACAGATGATGCAGCAAAATTTCAGGCAAGAAAAATGACAAGCAAAGATATGACACTGGAGACATTTCAAAGCATTCTTGAAGAATTGGGAAATAAACTTATAACTAATTTGACAGCAATAATTTCTGCACCTGTAAATGTATTTTTTGAAGAAAATAATAAATGAACAATATGACAGATAACCAACTGCCAGCAGAGAACCATCTGATGTACAAGCAGGATTTTGTAAAGGAAGAGGAACATATGATCATATTGCCAATATATATTGGATAATGGAAAAAGCAAAAGAATATCAAAAAGACATCTACATGTGCTTCATTGACTACACAAAAGCCTTCAACTACATTGACCATGACAAACTCTGGAACTGCTTGAAAGAATTAGGAATATCACCACACCACATTCAACTCATCCAGTCATTGTACTCTGATCAGGCAGCCACTGTTAAGAACAGAATATGATAAGATAAGATAACCTTTATTGTCATTTTTTTACTATGGGCACAATGGCACACATCAAAAATGAAATTTAGTTGCCCGCTCTCAAAGTGAAACACATACATGACACACACCTAAACATACTATGAACAACATATATATAGACCCACATTCCTACATATACGTAGCAAATAAATATTAAATACTGTCCATCTTGAATATGTAACGGAAGGAGGAAGCTTGAGAGTTCACAAGGTTAATGCTGTATGGAATGAAACTATGGCTGAATCTGGATGTTCTGCTATGGATACCACGAAGCCTCCTCCCAGAAGATAACAAGGAAAACAGGTCGTGAAGAGGATGTGTAGTGTCCCAGATAATCTTACGGACCCTGCTCAAACAACGCTTCTATGCTATGTCCTGGATGGGAGGGAGGGAACTGCCAACGATTTTTTGGGCCATTCTCACCACTCTCTGCACCGCCTTCCTGTCTGAAGCAGTGATGCCTCCAAACCAGAGATACAAAATGGAGATATAAAATGGTTCAGAATTGGAAAAGGCACTTGACAAGGCTGCATCCTGTCATCTACACTATTCAACATGCACACAGAAATAGTTATGAGAAATACACAGATGGAGGAATCTACTACTGGGGTTAAAATTGGTGGTAGAAATATCAACAACCTTCTATATGCAGATGATACAACATTGCTCACTGAAAGCAAGGAGGATCTGGAGTGTCTAATCCTGCGACTCAAAGATGAAAGCGAAAAATTTGGACTGCACTTTAACATCAAGAAAACAAAGATAATGTCAACTCCAGGGAACACACAGGCCAGAGCGCAGAGCAACAATGAGACCATTGAAACAATAAGGGAATTCATCTTCTCAGGCTCTAAAATCAACCAAAGTTGTGGCTGCAGCCCTGAGATCAGAAGACATATAACACTTGGAAGAACTGCAATGTCTGACATGAATAATATTTGGAAGAGTAAAGACATCAGCCTCACAACCAAATGCAGATTAGTTAATGCAATATTTTTTCCAATTGCTACTTATAGCTATGAAACTTGGACTCTGAAAAAGGCAGATAGGAGAAGAGTGGATACCTTTGAATTGTGCTGGAGGCAACTATTACACATCCCATGGACTACAAAAATAATGAACGAAGAAGCCAAGATTGCAAAACAGAGACTGAGTCATGTGATAAGAGCTGATTTACTCAAAAAGTCAATCATGCTAGGAGTGATCAGCAGAAAAAGGAGAAGGCATTGTCCTAGTACCTACTGGCAGGACACTATGAAGGATGACACTGAGATGACCATGGCAGATATGAAGGAGGCAGTACGAGACATAGGGGCTTGGAAAGTGCTAATCCATTGAGCGGCTGAGGGTCAGACACAACTGAATGGCTAATGATGATGACAACGGCAGATTAATTAATGGGAAAATATTGAAAAATTAAGAAATTAAGAATTATAAGATAGAGATGATAAAGTGGAAATGATAAATCAAAAGATGGCTTTACAAAAGAGGTTTTCTAAAACCTTAAAGAAATATTTGAGATGCGAGAAATAAAGTGTGAATGGGGATTCAATCCTACAACAGCAACTTTATGAATTAAAGATTAAGACTGTTAGTAGTTCCTCCCACCCCCACCCCCCAAAAAGGAATGTAAAGTTGATTTATATGACCAGCAATAAAATAAGAAACACTTTTGTAGAATTCTGGAAACCTTTTATGAACTTTTTGCTGACATTGGACAGAAATGAGGATGGGTTTGGGATGTGTGAATGGATAAGAGAGACCCTGTTATGAGAAGTGAACCACATAGATAATTTCACAGGAGGCTGGAAATTATTAATTCGTCTCTACAAATTAATCTTCCCGAGTAAGATCGGAAGTTGCTTCTTTAAATATTCTTTTTTTTCAATCTCTTTTCTTTTTTTCTTTTCTTTCTTGCACTTTGTATTGCTTTTTTTTCTCTTCTTTTCTTCTCCTCTTCTATCACTTTGTATTATCTTTTTTTTTTTTAAAGAAGGCCTGCTTGGCCTTCTTTAAAGGCATACTGGGAATTGTGCTCCAAAATATTGTTGAGGGGTCCAGGATTTAAAAAAAAATTAAGGTAATCTGATTTAAATCTATTTAGAATATAATGTTCACTTTCTAGTCATTTATATGATACAGTTCTCATTTCTGCTTCTATTAAACATTACAGTTTGGAAACAATAATCTCACTGAAGCTGCATGCAATTACAATATTGGAGTTTAAGGTGTGCACTTTAGCTCTACCACATTGTAGCAGCAAGGCTGAGCCCATAATATAGAAGAGTAGAGATTTTAAAATTGCTCTCATAGAAGGTTACTCAAAAACAAAAAGGGATTGAATAGAATATATAAAAAATAAATACATTTTTACAGATCACAAGATAGACTTAAACTGCTATCATTGGCTTTGTAAAATGGTTGATGCCCCAATTTAGATTTAAGAGTTTCAAAAAGACAAATTTTCAAAGCAAATGATTGTGTTCATGCATAGATAAAACATTAATTGAGTTAGTTAGCAGCACTCAGGCAAAGCAAATTAAAGGAGTTTAACCCCGTGCTAAATTACAAACTTCTCTCTTCCCGTACAGAATAAACTCTGGAAACAGATGCTTCTTCTATTCTAATAGTCATCTAGAAATTCCCTCTTTCTGAAATCCCACTATAAATAGGGGCTAGAGGAGAATAGTCTCATCTCTTGTCTTTCTGCTTTAGTGTAGACTTTCTTGTTTCTCTCTGTTCCCCAAGATACATACTGCAATCATCCTATCTAGGAAGAGAGGGTTTGGGGGATTTGACCCCTTATGTGACATAGTCCAGATCACCTCTGAGTCCATGTTAATTAAAACTCAGAAGTCACGTAATTGTTATTTAACTTGGACAGCTGGGATAACAGGCTTGGGGCCCATCTTTCATAGCACAAATAAACTAAAAGGAAGGCTGCTTTTTATATGGAAAACTTGGCTTTATAGCCACAGCAGCTAAATACCTCTCCTGATTGGGTACAATCTGTTTAATATTGAAGGAAATACTAGCTGGGAATTCTAAGATAGGCAAGCCACACAGATTATCATCAGCTTTCATAATAATTGTTTTTATTTATTTATTTTATTTGTAAAATGTATTGGCTGCCCATCTTACCACAGGATAACTCTGGGCGGCTTACAATCTTAAAATACATTTTAAGGTTTTAGTCCTTAAAATGCCACACAACTCTTAACTGGTTCTGTTTTGTCATAGGCAATTTTGGCAGGTTTATTTTGAAAACTTGATATATTTGTTTTCATGGAATTATGAAATGCACCGAAGTAAGGAGCACCCTTATTTTTTTTTCCAAATAGTATTGCTGGTTTACAGTTTCCATTTTAGTTATCATCCTTATGCATTTTTTGAAATTGTTCATTTTCGTATTTATTCATTGACTTCTATTCTGTAGGTTAATTTTTTTAAATATATTTTCTTCTGCTCTCTCAATATGTTTTGTTAAAAAAAGCTTTCATCTGGAGCTCCTCGCTAACTGGGGTTGGAATTCACAAGCTGATATTGCTGTGGACAACATTACCTTTGGTCTGGATTGCTTCTCTAATGGTGAGTTATTTCTAATTAAGGAAGTACTATGTTCTGAGGGTATAAAAGCAAGCAATTATTACTTCTGCATAGAACTTTTTCCACATAAGTCTTTTCTAAATCTAACATATATGAAACATCTTTTGAGATAATTGCCACAATAAAGCAAATCCACCAGAGATTATAAAAAGTACTCCCTTAGCAGTTGCATTTTCAATATACATTTGAAATTCCTACATACATTTTTGATAATTTCTCAGACGTTAAATACCAACAATGTGTCATCTTATAGAAAAAACTTATTTCAAATTATTATTCAATATAAATTTTAATCCATTAGTCCACCTGTTTTTCCTGGCTCAAAAATAGTAATTGTGAGAGGGACCTTGGAGTCCTAGTGGATGATCACTTGACTATGAGCCAGCAGTGTGCAGCAGCAGCCAAAAAAGCTAATACAGTTCTGGGTTGTATAAACAGAAGCATAGAATCAAGATCACGCAAAGTATTAGTATCACTTTACAAAACCTTAGTAAGACCACACCTGGAATATTGCAACCAATTTTGGTCACCATACTACAAAAAAGATGTTGAGACTTTGGAAAAAGTTCAGAGAAGAGCAACTAAAATTATCAAAGTCCTGGAGACTAAAACATATGAAGAACGGCTGCAGGACTTGGGTTTGGCTAGTCTAAAGAAAAGAAGAAACAGGGACAACATGATAGCAGTATTCCAGTATTTGAGGGGCTGCCACAAAGAAGAGGGCATCGAACTATTCTCCAAAGCACCAGAGGGCAGGACAAGAAACAATGGTTGGAAGCTGACCAAAGAGAGAAGCAACCTGGAATTAAGGAGAAACTTCCTAACAGTGAGGACAATTAACCAGTGGAACAGCTTGCCTTAGAAATCGTGGGTGCTCCATCACTGGAGTTTTTTAAGAAGAGAGTAGACAGTCACTTGTCTGAAATGGTATAGGTTCTCCTGCTTGAGCAGGCGGCTGGACTAGAAGACCTCCAAGGTCCCTTCCAGCTCTATTCTGTTTTGTTCTGTTCCATTCTATTCCTCAATCTTTATATTATCACCAAAATTCTTTGCCCATTAGATCGTATAATGTTTAACATATTCATTTTCCAAATTCAATGTCAACAACAGTTTATAAATCCTAGCAATAACATGTTCATCATTGGCACACAATGCCATTTTAAACTCTGTTTTTGTATACTCAAAAACATGGTTTTTCTTATCTAGGTTAAATCTTTCTTTTAATTCTAAATAGAGAACCAATATCAAATATGAGAGGTCCTTGTCGGTCTCTGAGCTTGGTTGTTTTCTTGCAGATGTTTCATTACCCAAACCAGGTAACATCATCAGTTAACATTGATGATGTTTACATAATTTGGGTAATGAAACATCTGCAAGAAAACAACCAAGCTCAGAGAGCAACAAGGACCCTTCATTTCAACCCTGAGCTACAAATATTTTCCTTTCTTAATGTCAGATGTGCCCTTCCAACTCCAGTCCTCCTTTCAACTTCAAATTGGGTTCTCCTTGAGTAGGACATAATATCTCACTATACCCAATTGGCATACATCTGATTAGAAAAGGCTGTTGTACAACTAAGGCAGCATGTTTTATTTTAAAAATACTAGAATATGTCAGTCAGATGATATTTTAAAAAACATTCAGGTTCATTGATGCTCCCTGAATTTCTATAAGCTGTATTGTTTTCCTTCAGAGAAGAAGGCCATTTGTTCATCTCTTCTAATTCAATTACATTTTGGAGAAACCCAGCAGCTTTCAGTAATAAAATTACATCCTTCTTTGCCAACGGAGACTTTGGAGATCCCTGACAGTTCCAATTAATTAATCAGGCAAAGAGACTTAAGTCTGAAGATTTGCAGGAGAGAAGTGGGAGGAAGAGGAAGAAAGGAAGCAGAGCCGGAAGAAAGCTTAATTTTCTTTCCTCATGCGTTCCAGCTATTCAATCCATCTCCTTTCATTACAGAAAACGTTTTGTGGTCTGTATGAATCAAAAGGAGTGGCTGAGGAGTTGAATGATATTTCACTGCTACGGCTTGTGAAAATGCAGTTTTGATTAGCTGGCCCTCTTCTTCCTTGATATTGAATGCTTTTTCTACTGCTTAGTGTAGTTTCCTGATTAACATTCTGGGCCTAGAATCTGTTGATTAGAAAATGCACAAGTTGCTGCTTGCCACTTTTTAATTTCTTCTTAATTTCTTCTGTTAACAGATGCTATTCTGTTAACATCAAGTCAGCCATGATCTGCCCTAGACAGCCACTGCATAGGTTACCTGTTTTCTTTTCTGAGACTAGCAATCCGTATGACCTGAAACCAGTTTGGAGAGAAGCATCCTTATCTCTTTTCAGCAGTATCCGTATTTTGACACAGATAGTTTTCAGCTTGATGGTGGGATTTTACCTTGCTTGAATCTATAGGTTGTATGAAGGGGAAATGTGATTTAGCCCACTTCCAGAAACTTTGAAATTTAATCGGGTAAGGTCACAAGCAGAGCTGGAGACCATCCTTTGATGCTATGTTAATACAGTGGAACGCAGCAGTACTTAACATTTAGATTTCATTCATTTGGGTTTAATATAATTGTTGAATAGTAACAGTAAATTAAAAGTAAAAATGATGAAGAGTAGGTGGGAACTTGGGTATGTAGGGGTTAGGTAGGTAAAATGTGAAAAGAAATGTGGGAATAGAATAGAACAGAACAGAACAGAATAATGGCAAAGTGTGGTTGGACACACAAGGAATTTGTCTCCAGTGCATTATCAAATTAGCTTTATCAAATTAGCTTTATCAAATTCTCTGTTACTGTTCAAACTAAAAAAAAAATAAATGAAAGAAGCTATGCCTTGCTGTGTGTAGAATAATTAGTTTGTAGAAGCCAGTCATATTCAAATTGGCCTTCAAATTCAAAAGAGTCTAGGCTCTTAAAAATTGCAGACAGAACTCTCATCCTTCGATACAAATTAGGTGTAATGGAAGACATTAACATCATACATTGATATCCTGACCAGCTCAAAGTCGACTCAACCTTCTTGAGCACTATGAAGCGATATATATGTGCTATTGCTATTGCTATAAACTGACTATAGAATCCCAGAAGTAGGAAAATTCACATGACTAAACAATTATCAGTGAGTCTAGGAATATACTTATCTTCTTTTTGACTGAGATAGTGAGAGAGCCCTTGAGATTTGAATTTTGTTCAGAAAAAGAGGAAAAAGTTGTTTAAACCTGGAGAACTGCCTGAGTTAATTGAGATATTGCTCCAATAAAGACTGAATCAAGCATACAAACCAAGGCAATAGTACAAAGAGTGATTTACATCCTACAACAGTGACTAGATTGATTGTATATCTCTAGGTGTCAGCAGATAAACTGGAGATATTTCATGTTTTTTAGTGTCTAAAAAAATTAACTGAAGGCCAAGGAGTCCAATAACTCCTTTGTGCCCAGTACCACTATCTGGTTTTCCTTTAATCTCCATAGTTTATTTTACATTAATTTCAGTTTTGTTACAGCCGTGACAAAAGTATTTTCCAGCACAAATCAGTTCCATTGTCATCCACTGTGTATTCACAAACTGAACAACACTGCATGAGACATCCTGCCTCTGCAGTCCACTTCCTCCTAGTCTGTATTTGTACTGGACCTTTTGGGACATGCAAAAAGAGACAATTGTAGAGGCATTTCCCATAATCCTTCCTATCGATCGTCATTTTGCTTTTAATCTAGAAAAAAAAAGATAAAAGAGTCCCTGTGGATTTTACTCCGCTAGTCCAACTATAAGGGGTGATGCTCATCTCCATTTCAAGGCCATTGAGCCAGTGCTGTCTGAAAATGTTTCCGCAGTCATGTGACCACCATGATGTCATGGAGCGCTGTTACCTTCCCACCAAAGTGATACCTATTTATCTGCTTGCATTTGCATGCTTTCAAACTGCTAGGTTGGCAGGAGCTGGGGTGAGGACAGGAGCTCACCCTGTCACATGGTGTTCAGGCCTCAAGCCTGGACTACTGGCTTTTCAGCCAACAAGCACAGCATCTTAACCACTGAGCCTCCGTGCCATCTTTTAATCTAGAAGTGAGCATGAAAAAAAAAATCATCTGCTGACAATTGTTTCCAGTATCCTTGTTCCAGAATGATACCTGGGCCTCACTGGAGAAATTGTTTATAGCTTTATCTGGTAAGGTGAAGGGAGGGAAAAGTTAATTATCTCTGACAGAATTCAGCATCTGTCAAGAACAAAAATGCTTTTATATAGTACAAAATTTCAGATAATTAACATGAGATTATGTTGCAGGGACTAAAGGGTTCTACAATTGTATCTGTCCTTATAAAACTACAATAGATTATACCTAATAAATTGGGAGAAAGAAATGTTGTAAGTATATTGTATCAGGGATTTTCATCCTGAGCTACCACCACAAGTAGAATTTAGTTGACAGTAGATGATACGCCATCTATCTCTGTAGCTAATTCTCTTTCCCCACCCCAAACACACATAAAAATATTTTTTTTTAAAACTTATGTTTTTAACCAATGATCAATGCTGAAAAGTGGGACATTATTATTAACAGTAAAACTGCACTCAACAGTCTCTTTGTGCATTTTGTTTTCATTACTGTTATCATGCGTTCAAGTTGGTAATTGCCCAAATCATGCATGCAACTTAAGACTTGCACCTCTTAATTTAAGATTACCAAATCAGCTTCTTTTAGTACTGCATCCTACATCAGATTGGCCACCATCTATGCTATTTGATTTATTAAGGCTTCTGTATTAATGTTTTCCTGGGAAAACATAATGTGGTAGTTTTCAGTGCTTACTGCTACATTGCTGTATGAATTCATTTTATTCCCATCACCGTAGATGCCATTATAACTGTTCCAGACTCTGTTACTGTCATTGCTACTGGTAGAATACCTGCTTTCTATGTGGCAGATAGTTATTTACTGGCAAAATTAGGTCACCAAATGACAACATTGTCCTTGGGTATAGGTAGCATTTTTTTTAGCTCAGTAACAATTCTTGCTATTATATACAAACCATCTCAATATTTTAGAGAGAATAAAATCAATATTTTGCCAAACCAAATGCAGAAAATTGCTGTGGGCTTGCAGAAAGTTTAGGAAGAGAGGAAAAAAACCCCCAGCATTGCCCATAAACAGGGCCCATAAACCCAGGGGACAATGCAAAATGGTCTGTGTTCCATATTCATCAATTTACTTTCAGAATTTGGACAGCTGTAGAGATGGATGGAAAGAAATGACAAATGACTTTTCTATGTCATTTTTGCAGTTTTCTTAATTCCACTTGTACAAGAGAATTAACATTTTTTTAATGTTCATTTCTGAAGTTTTGCAAATAGGATTTCTTTATTTTAGGCAAAAAAAAATCTGTATCTATTTTTTTCCCCCAAATCCAAACCTTTTTTTCTTTTGTCTTTTCATTTCACTCATTCGCAAATTCTGGCAGGAAGAAAACAAAGCCACACTGATGGAGAACAGCACTACTCATTGGCAATTGATAGACTGGATGAGCGTCTTTTTAATCCTTTGGAAGAACCTCTTCTTTTAGGTAACTACCTACTGCGTATCCATTTGTAACATTCATTTATAACTATTTTTTTTTGTAATATATTTTATTGATTTTTTAAAAAACATAAATCACAATAATTGGTGAACAGTGTGTTGTCTGGGTTAATGATTGTTTGTAAAACATTCATTAACAATTGATTTCTATAATCCATAATCCACATAATGGTTTTAGTTGATTTCCTTTTTTTCCAAAATATCCTCAGTTGCAAACATTCAGTTAATACAATTCTTATTGTTTTGATAGATAACAATTAAATATGTAATTTTTTCCCAATATTCCTAAAAATAATAATCACGTCAATATAATATTTCTTTTCTATCCAATCATTCTGGTTGCCTTATCATAGATCCTGTTACAGTCGTTATTTTAATTTGTTTCTCCCACCAAATTCTAGGTATTCTTACTGCTTAAGATTTTCTCAAAAATTTAACTCTATTTTTCCATCTGAACCATCTCACACTTTTACATTTCTTAAGGAATAGATAAAACAGTGGAAAAAAAGAAAGGAGAGCAAGAGTAAAGAAACATAAAAAATAACATACTACTAAAAATATATATCCCTCCTAAGCTAATATATATTTATTTCCTAAATTTCTTATTCTTTTTAACCATAATTAAAAATATGTTTAATCTTTAAACATTCCATTTAATACATCTAGTCATCTAGTCCTTTAACTCTTATTCAAAACATTTTTATCCATTATAATTTTTTTTAATTTAATCACATTTAAGTATCAAACATTTCCTTTATCTAAATCATTTCAACTTAGTCATTTCAACTCATATCAAGAAAGAGAACAAAAAAGGGAAAAAAGCATACTATATTATTTAGGGAATTCATCCCTCTTAGAATGACATATATATTTCAAAACTTTTCTATTTCTTTAACCATATTCAAACAAATGTTTCTTTTTAAAGTATTCTCTCTGGTAAGTCCCATCATCTATTTTCTTGGTTTCCACTTTAGTCTTTTTCCTTTGCCCAGTATCTTTCTTAATCAATATATTTTGCTGAATCAAAAAGTTTTTGCGTATGTTCGTAAATGTTGCTGTAGATATTAAAAGTAAAGGTGAAGGTGACGTGTCTTTGTACGGGGCTTCTGCCTTTCCACGTTTGTTGAAAATCTTTTTCTTTTTTTTTCTCTCCGCTTCTCTTATCAATTTCTTTCCCTCTGATGTTCCTGACATCTCTACAGTCCATTTTATCCAATCTGTTTTTTTTGTCTTCAGATTTATTTTGTAGTCTTAAGGGATAAGTTGTTTTTTCCAATTATTGTGAATTTTTTTCCACTAGGATTAAAACATGTTTCCTTGTTTTGTTTAGTTCCATCTTTAAGTCTCTATTCTCAATTCTATATCCATTTATCTGTTTTATCTGCTCCTTCTCTGTTGTTGTTTTCTGGGAATTTTTTTTGTAGAGTTAACTTAGAAATAGATTGATTAATATTTTCAAAATTATTTTGGATTTCTTTGTGGTTTAAAGTCATTGTTATTTGAATTAGTTGCAACATACTGTATATCTCCTCCTGTGAAGCATTTATGTTTTCTTGATATGTTCTTTCTACATGTCTCTGATCCATGAGGGCCAAGAATTTGAGTTTTTCTCTTCCTTTCTTTTCTCTGCAAATAGCTTTAGAGTCCCAATTAGATAGATATTTGTAATCCAAATAGTTCAAAAAAGATTTTTTCCCCCCGGAAATGTATAATTCTTTCTTTGTCTACAGCCCAGGATATTGTCTTTTTTTTTGTCACAGCTGTTCTTTGTTGTTAAAACTTTGAAGATCACAAACACAGATTAGCTTTTCCCAGGTTTTGCCAAGTCTTATATTAAAGTCATAGCTGTCATAGTCTTCATCCACCACTAGGTGTCAGCAACTATTTGTTTTTCAACTTCCAAAATAAGCAATTATCTTTGAAATGAGAGTCTTAACCATTCAAACAATTTTAGATTTATCCAGATTTAAGTTTTAAATTTCAGGTTTTATATTTATTTCACTTCCACATATTTTTGATCCTCCATAAAAAGATTAATTTGCCGCTTCCATTAGTATAAGGGTGGGGCGGAAATCCCCCTCCTTCCCTTTTGGAGGTATTTTGCTTCTTGGGGATCTTTTCCAGGAAATTAAATGTAGAATAGAAAAGAGAAGATCGAATTCCTCACCCAGTTTCAAGCACGCTGTTCACAGTTGTGCTGGTTAATGCTTTTGGACTTCGGTTGCTAGTAGCTTGGGCTGGTCGATCCAATATGGCCAGCCTTTCTCCTGTCGGGTTAGAAGGCTTTCCCCAAGTTGAACGGAACAGCTGCTGCTGTTCCAGAATCGCTGGAGCACCCTTCTTTCTTTGTCGCCTCTCCGGGGTGACTTAGACCGATTTAGGGTCCCCAGGCAAGGCAAAATTAGCTATGGGGGTGCGGAGAATCCGCAAGCCCGCGACTGGTCACTACTGCACAAAACCAGAAAACCTCATTTATAACTAATTTATTGCTAAGATTTCTTCTCATAGCAAACTTATTATTCTCATAATGCTAAATCCGGCATACTGACTGACATAATACTAAATCTAGGCATCGGAAATAAAGCAGCTTTTTAACAACATTGCAGTTATAGAAACTTACAGGAATTATTTTGATCCTTCTGGACAGAAAGAATAGGATAATTCTTAAATTAATATTTTCTCATTTTCAGCCGTATTTCCTGATTTCCTTGGCATAAATAGTCTTGTGGATAATATGTGGATAGAACTGTAAAGAATATGCCTACTGTAATGCTCATTCACCATTAGAATTTATGACTTTTTGTCCTGGAGCAATAACATTATGATTATTTTTATATATAAATGTGAATATCAGACAATTTTCAGGATCTGACTGTGGTCCCTGAATTGGGACCGTAATACAAGGCAAAAAAAAGTTAAGCATTCATTGCCTCCTGCTTGAGTTTCAGTCTGGATCAGAACTCCCATACCTCTCTGTTGTTTTCTTTTCCAGAATTATTGATTTATATGAACTGAACTATGTCATGTTTGAATCAATGTTTATTGCTTACATTTTTATATAGATGACTAAAAGTTGGTTAAAAAGAAGTGATGTGAACTTAAATCCAGCTTATAGATGCATCCTAGCAATGAGGAGGCTACTGAAATACATATACTTCTCAAAGTAGCTCCAGTTCAAGGGTTTGGTTTTTTGGTTCAAAAAAGCCAGTGTATACAATATTTTATTTATTTGTTTATTTATTTATTCTGGTGAAATTGATGGAACTTTATTAGGATTCCACCACTTTCCTTTTTTTTTTTTACTTGATCTGCTAAACAAAGCTGCTATCAAATTCACTTTTGCTGATTTTTTTAAAATTTGGTTTAAGTTGGAATCAAACTATGAAGACCTGAAGATCCAAAGCATACATTTGCTCTAAAATTTTTGTTGTTTAACCCATCTGCATATCAGCAAATTCAGAATCTTACATGATATTCAGGCTTGTCCAATCCAATGCCCTCTTTAAGGTAGCCATTCTGGCTAAAATTTCATTGGAAAAGGAGTCAAAAATAAAAGAGAGCTTTAATGGAGCAAAAAATGAAGCAATTCTGATCCAAGGTTCCCCACAATGTTCAGTGCTGCTTCATTGCCAGAAGTGACAGAGACATTAAATCCATTGAAATGCTATATCATGTGATCTGAAAGCTGGTGAAAACTTTTGGGCAAGAGAAAATAGAAAATAGAAAATAGTTACACATGTGGTTTACTGGAAAGGCATTTTTACAGTGAAAGCTGCAGTAATGCATGAAGATATCCACAACTGCATCACTGAGATACTTAATACTAAAAATAAAAAATTATTAGTAAAACATTCCCCAGAGGGGAAAGGAATTAGTAGGAAATATGGCTGTTGTTATATTGTCTGGAAAAGATTTGTTTACTATAAAAGTTTTTTTACAGTATTTTTATACGTATTACACACATGTTTTGTATAGTTTTAACATTGTACGCCACCCAGAACTACCCTGTTATAAGATGGGCCAATAAATTTAGCAAACAAACAAACTAGTGAGAAATCAAAATGTGGAGCTAGCCAGACAATGATGCTTTTTCTTTTTATTATGGACAAGTTGTGTGAATATGGTCTGGGAAAGAAAGTGAAGTTGACATGCTAGTCACAGCTCTGAATGTTTTTTTCTAATAATAGCGGAAACACCTGTCAATCTCTGGTGGTTTACAACCTGTGGGGCTAGTGGGTCTCGAGGACCAACTCAAGCACAGTGTGATAGCGCTTATCACAACACCAATATGTCAGTGACTGTGGAAAAAGAGGGACATCTACGAGGGGTACAAATCTGGAAAGTGCCAGCGTCAAACCGATATACGTGAGTATCAGTGTGATGAGGTGAGGAAATAAGAATGTGTAAGAACCGTGCTGGCTACTTCTGCTGACTCCTGGCTGCCAGCAGTTCAGCAATTCGATTCTCACCGGCTCAGGGTTGACTCAGCCTTCCATCCTTCTGAGGTCGGTAAAATGAGGACCCAGATTGTTGGGGGTAATATACTGACTCTGTAAACTGCTTAGACAAGGCTGTAAAGCACTGTGAAGCAGTATCTAAGTCTAAGTGCTATTGCTATTGTTATTCAGGTAGTCCTCGACTTACAACAGTTCGTTTAGTGACCATTCAAAGTTACAACGGCACTGAAAAAGTGACTTATGATTGCTTTTCATAGTTATGACCTTTGCAGCATCCCCATGGTCAGGTGATCAAAAGTCAGACGCCTGGCAACTAGTTCATATTTATGACGGTTGCAGTGTCCCAAGGTCATGCGATTACCTTTTGCGGCCTTCTGACAAGCAAAGTCAATGGGAAAGCCAGATTCACTTAACAACTGGGCTACTAACTTAACAACTACAGTGTTTCACTTAACAACTGAGGCAAGAAAAGTCATAAAATGCAACAAAGCTCACTTAACAAATGTCTCAAGAACAGAAATGTTGTGTTCAATTATGGTCATAAATCGAGGACTTCTGACTGTTTATGTAGTGACTTTTAAGCCAAGAAATCTAATGGCACCTCCCATGAGTCCCGATCAATACGAGCAACGGTCTAAGGTGTGCTGAGAGGTATAGTTTGGATATATCTGGAATAGAGGCAAGATGGGCAGCAAACAAATTTAATGAATTATAATAATTCCCACCCTCACCCTCTTTATTTCAATACAATAGCCATGTAATCCTTTCACTGGGGTAGGGCAGTATTGTTATTCCTACATTAAAGATTTTATATTTTCTAACTGTGTTTTTTAAAAAATGCATAAAATCTTTGATGCAGGGATGAAAGATTTTAAAGGTAGTTATATAATGAAGAATGTGGAAGGAAAGAGAAGAAGAAGAAGCCAACTAGCAGGGGGGCATTAGACCGGTGAAGAATGAAGTGTTGGGAACCTGATAGCACAGGTTAGGAACAGATCCTCATGGAGAAAATCCTTGCAGTTGCTAAGGGTCAATAACCTTAATGGCATATAATCCATCAATCACATTAAAGATGGGCTGGATATTTGTTTGTTTGTTTGTTTGTTTATTATTTTGTTAAATTTATTTGCTGCCTATCTCACCATGGAACTACTCTAGACAGATTAATTAAGATTATAAAAGGTAGAAAAATGAAAGGGCGTGTAAAATAATAGAACAATAAAGTAAACAGTGACAAAGAAACACAATGAGAATATGTCAATATCATAAAAAAAAAAGATGGATGGATGGAGAGCAAAGAATAAGGGGGGGAAGTTCCAGTGGTGGGATTCAAATATGTGAACAACCGGTTCTCTGTGTGGATGCCACTTCTGGAAGTTCATTCTGGGCCTGGGCAAGAAAAAATTAGCTACCGGTTCTGCTTAACTGGTGTGAACTGGCTGAATCCCATCACTGGGAAGGTCTAGCAGCCACCTCCGGTGTGGAACTCCCCCATCTGGTCCCAAGGCCAACTGGCAGGGCTGCGTCTTCAGGCTCCTGCGGAAGGGTGGGGGCAGATCTTACCTTAGAGGATAATATTGTTCCAAAGGGTGGATGCTGCAGCAAGGAAGGCTCTTCTTCTGGGTCCCGCTAGTTGGAGTTCTTTGACCAACAGGATCCTAAGTAGGCCCTCTCTGCTGGCACAAATAAAACGGGCTTGTCCTAGCGGGACAAGACAGTTGAGCTGGACATCACCTGAATGCTCTTTGAAGACAGGATTGTGGCTGTGAAGAGTTCATGGTTGCAGTCACCTTGGAGCCTCGTTTTGAGCTGTAGAGTTTCTTCCTAGTTGCTGTTACTTTTCTTCAGGATTTCAGCCTACGGAGCCGCTGGAGGGAAAGGAGCCAAGAACCACAACAAACGGTCTCATGGGATTTTTATCTCTGCTAACTTCCATCTGGAAAAAGATGAGCTCCTCTACCTGTTGGTGGGGCAACAAGGGGAAGATGCCTGCCTAAGGGTGAGGCGTGCACATTTTCTACTTCAAGCACTTGGTGCACTTTGAGATTGTGACAAAAGGTTGATTGGGATATTTCAGGAGTCAATTTTCTCAATAATGATAGCTCCAAAATAAGAAATAGGGCACAAAGGATTGCAAAGAAGTGTGGGGTTTTTTTTTTTGGCTAGCTTGAAATTTTGTCATTTTTTTTGTTGAGTTTTCAATCAAGGTCTTCTTTGGTGAACCTTTGAACAATAAATACCATGTAGTATAGACTGTTTTGAAACCTAATATTGATCAGCTCTGAATGTATTTTAAACCATTGTAACTAATGCATTTGGGAGGGGGGGGAAATCCTAGTATATAAACAGAAGAGAAAAAATGTTAAAAGTGGCATTTTCGCCTAATGCAGGGGTGTCAAACTGCCAGCCTGTGGGCCAGATGCATCATGCGGAAGCCGCACCCACCCCAGTTCCAGGAAGGGGAAAAGAGTTGCAATATGTTGCGACACGTCATGTGATGTGGCAAGTTTGACACCCCTGGCCTAATGTGAAGAATAAGTGAGCCTGATCTGTGTTCAGGATTTTCAAAAAGCTGCATATTCTCTGCAATAGTAAATATGCGCAATCTATAATTCATTGATCACAAACATTGAAACAGATTAATATCATTTTGGAACAGGATCCCTAACCCATGGGCGGTGGCCCACTACTGGGCCACGGAACTGGTCCACGGAAGCGGCAGGCAAGCGCACACATGCATCCCCACTTGCATGAGCAGTGAATGAGCACGTGTGCGTGTGCGGCATTTGCATGAGCCACAGGTGCGTGTGCCCGCTGCTCATGCAAATGGAGCTGCGCACGTGCACTTGCCACTCACGCAGAACCATCCCCTCTTCCCCCCCAGAAGGGTTGGGGAACTCTGTTTTAGAAGAATTCAGACTATAATTAACATGTTGGATTAGTTCTGATGAAACCTGGGTTCAGGTCCATATACAGTCACTGAAGCTCATTGGCTGATTTGGATCAGGCGGCATGCTCAGTCTTCCAGCTACATTCACAAGTAATTCCTGGCACTTTAACCCCAGTCTGGGTTGTCTCCCACTTTATCCTCATTATCTGCAGATGTCTACCATAGTTTTTCATTCTGAAGGGAGCATCTGCAGTTAATCATTGCTCAGCATGGCATTGTGATACAATTAAAAAATGAATTCCAGAACTATTACACTGAGCTCCTGGAATAAGGACAAAATCTAAATCTTATCAACCAAATAAATCAAAGATTCAAGGAGAAATATTTTCAGTTATCTACGTATTTAAGTAGAAATGTTCTTCGGGTTTTAATTCTTTTTCTCCCCTCTGTTCTTTTCAGATTAACTATCACACTAAGCAGATTTGCCTGGGGGAATCCTCAGAAATTGAAGAAGAATACAAAAAAGCGAAGCGACTGACCGAATGGGCTGGAGGAGGGGGTGGGGGCGGAGGAGCCACCTATGTGTTTCGAGTAAGTGTTCATGTTCTTTAGCAAGCAGTTACTAAGGACTGCTAGCAATGATTTAGCACTAGCTAGCTATAGTTAGCAATATTTAAGGGCCAGTTGAAGCAGCTTCCCATCTGGAGAATATTTAAACATAGTGGTACAAGCATGATGGAGCTCTGGGCAATGGAGAGAGTCATTGCAACAGGAGGATATCAAAATGTTCATTGCTGAAATGCTTAACAGCTGATAAATAATGAGGCCCCAGATTGAAACCTCCACCATGCAGTCCTAAAACAGCCCAGGACAATTTGAATTATGAATGGCCCCTAAGTTAACACTGCATTCATTCCTGCCCTTTTCTTTTTTTCTCCTTCTCTATATTGATGGGTTTGAATCGTTACCATTGCTGTTCAAAAGAATAGAGGCAATGGATAGCATACCAGTTTCATTGACATGGTTTCCTTCAAAGATTTCTGGGAAGTGTGGTTTGCTGAAAATGCTGAGGAATGTTCAATATTGCGCTTTAGTGTCTTTAATGCTGTTAAGAGTTCCTCGGACAGAATTTTTTTTTTAAGCCATTTCAGTCAGTTCAGACAACTTTTAGTCCCACAACAGCTGAAAGACCCTCGCTTTTCCTGGCGCTTCCTAAACTATGCTCTATCTAGAAAGCTTGAAATTATGTGACCCGGCCCTCCCGATTTTAGAGTCTGGTGTAAGAGGGTTCAAGAGTTACTGGCAACACTGCTTCCCTCTCCGGCCAAAGAATGTCAGCTATTGCAGTCAGAGTTTTTATTTCTGTTTGGTGCTTGACTTTGACCCTTCGATGTTTCCTTAATGTTTCCTTGTGTTTGTGCGTGTGTGTATGTGTGTGTGTGATTTCTTAAGCAGCAGAAGGATGGAGCTTTTGAACCTTTGCTTGTTGCGGCAGGGGGTGGAGGAAAAGCTTATCTGAAGGCGCAGGAGAGCTCCCTGGACGATGCGTTCTTGGAACAGTATGTGAACAGTTCGGCAATACCTGGGGTCAGTGGGAGAACTGGAGCAGCAGGTGAGGATCTGCTCTTGATAAGGGGCCAGCAGCTGAGCAAACAACATCTGCTGAAATTATGTAAAGAGAAGATACTTCACAGGAAATGAATTAGCATGACACTTATATACTGTATGCTAATTTTACATTTGGGGGTGCAAACTTAGACCAGTTAGAACTTATTTTCACCTTGGGGCCTTTCTTGAAAAACTATAGATAGTCCTCAATTTACAACTAAACTTTAGCCTAATTTTTTATGTTGCTAAGTGAAACATTTGTTAAATGAATTTTGCCCCATTTTACGATCTTTCTCGCCACAGTTGTTAAGCGAATCTGGCTTCCCCATTGACTTTGCTTGTCAGAAAGTCGCAAATGGGCGATCACATGATCCCAGGACGCTGCAAACGTCATAAATATGAGCCCGTTGCCAAACATCCAAATTTTGATCACATGATCATGGGGATGCTGCAACGGTTGTAAGTGTGAAAAACGGTCATGTCACTTTTTTCAGTGTTGTAACTTTGAACAGTCACTAAATGAACTGTTGTAAGTCGAAGACTATCTGTATTTTGAAAAGAATGCAAAGATACCAGGCTGAATTTTAAGCCTTTGAAGTACACTCTATTAAGGGTAAGATTTCTTGTGGGTTACAATATGTGCAACTGTGCATGCTGAATCAATATTTTTAATAACCTGAAAGTTTTTGCAAGCATAGGTATGCTTAGTAGTCTTTAAGATGCTTGTGAGTTCTTTTTAATGTCATGGTCTTTACCATATAACTCTGAAATTGCCTCTAGGCATTATTTCCAGCTCTTTTCCCAGACTGGTTGCCAACTTTTGTGTTTGTGTGTGCCCAAAAAGGCTTCCTGTTTGCCATTCTTTGTGAAAATCCTGGTACCTTAGCTTTTTTTTTTTTTTTTAGCTAAAACTTTGTCCTGCTTTTTCTATGGGAATCCAAGGTAGCATCCAAGGGTATCTACCCATTATTGTAGCCCCACAGCAAGACCCCGTGAAGTAGGTTGGGACAAATATCTATGTAGATCCTGGTTGTCCATGGTTGTCCAGTGGTGGGATTCAAATATGTAAACAACCGGTTCTCTGTGTGGATGCCGCTTCTGGAAGTCCATTCTGGGCCTGGGCAACAAAAAATTAGCTATCGGTTCTGCCGAAGTGGTGCAAACCGGCTGAATCCCACCACTGTAGTTGTACCAAAGGTGCTTTTTCAAAAGGCAACTGGACTTGCTTTGTTTTGTCTTTGAAGACGTTTTGCTTCTCATCCAACAAGCTTCTTCAGTTCTGACTGAATGATGGAGAATGGAAGGATTTATATTCCCTGCAGGGAAATGACTACAGGGAATATAAATCCTTCCCTTCTCCACCGTTCAATCAGAACTGAAGAAGCTTCTTGGATGAGAAGCAAAACATCATCAAAGACAAAACAAAGAAAAAACAAAGAAAGTCCACGTGCCTTTTGAAAAAGCACCTTTAGGTTGGAACAAGAGAAAATGACTGGCCCCATTACCCGTGAATGCAACGCATAGGAGAGGATTTTCCAGATGAAATCCAATGCATTGATTGTTCTCTGTCTGTAAAATCCTTTTTCAGAGCATTAATATACTAACCCAAGTTTTCTGTTCTTCACCATTGTCCTGGAAAGTTTTCTCCTCACTGGGCAATTAAACTTAGAAAAACAAGCTTCCTTCAGCACCAAAGAAAGCATTTCTTTAGCTTTGTGTGAGAAAGAAAATATTCAGGGGCCATCACAGCACACAGGGAACTAGAGATGAACTCTTCACTCTCTGTCTGAAAATTCCTCGCATTAGATTGCAAGGAAACTTAGAAAAATAACTTCTTAAAGCTATGTTTATTTCCCTGTGCTTTATTACCCTTGTTAATGTGCAGTTTAGCTTTGCTACATTGGGATTTTCTGAGGCTTGTAGCACTGGGGAAAGATGATTGACCTTGACCAGTATAACAGCAGTTGTCCAAAACAGGAATTAAGCTTTAAAAAAAGGTCTTGGAGTTTTGGAAGTAGATTCAAGGAATAAGGCCATTTGGATGCTTGGCAACCTTGATGATAGTTGGTGTTTGGCATTGGAAATTGGAGGAACAACTAGCCCCACTATATCTATACTATAAAATCCAATTGATTGTGAAATGACACCAGACAGATACCCATACACATGTACAGATATAAAATTTAAAAACTTTTTAGTGCCCTTAGTGGTCATTCAGATATTTGCAGCCTAGATGAGGTAGCCCTAAGGAACAATAGCCATGCCTAAAACGTTAGAGGTAATCCATAGAAGTTTTAGGCATGGAAATAAATAAGTTGGGTAAGATTTGGAAAATTAAGTTAAATATATATGTAAGTTCAAATTGGTATATACACACACATATTAAACCATTTCTATAATGTGACATTATGTATATATATATATTTTTATTTATTTATTAATTGCATTTATATCCCGCCCTTCTCCTTACGGACTCAGGGCGGCTGACAATTGAATAAAATACTAACATATATACATACTTAATTAAAATTTGATTAAAACGAAATATTTAAATATGTCCAATTTAAAAGTAATTAAAACCCCCTTTAAAATCCCTCAGGCCAGTCCCGCTAGTTGGAAC